TTCTGGATGCACAAATAAATAAATCTTTGGAAAAAATAAAGCTCCCTCCCGCCTCTCCTCCCTGCTCCCAGAGAAGTTTTCTATTCTGTAAGAACCGCAGTGGGAAGAGGAAACAGGAGCCCTAAGTCCCAGGGATCTTGCCGACTAAGCCTGCTGACCCAAAGCGACAGAGCCAGCACAGGTCTCGGCCACGTGGCCATACTCACGTCCCTCGCCTGCCCGCCTGAGCCAAGCACGGACATCACCGAGAACTTCCCCAGGACCTCACGGCAACGCGACGCGCGCATCGGGGCTGAAGGGAGCAGGTAAAAACAGGATTAACTATTATTCCTCAGATGCCGAGAGATGGCATGGGAGCAGCGATTACTAGGGCCTGGATCAATAAAGAAAAATTAGTTTGGCTTTTACTTTACTTGTGAAAGAATTTTTTTTTTTTTTTTTTTGCTAAATTTCTCAGAGGATCCACTATAATCACTCTTCATTTATTATGGGTACACAGTGGGATGTTTCTCTCACTTTACGGACAATCCGAGGAAAAGGAAGATATTTCAGAAGCAGAACTCTCTGAGAATTAAGCCACCCACCACTCCAGTGATGTGAGCAAGGAAGCAGGAAGTGCCAGGCTGTGGGGAACCCCAAAGTGGGAGCTAAGCTGAAGAACGCAGAGCAGATCGATCACAGCCCTCGGCTGGGTGCCCGCCGGGCTGGAGCGCTGCCACAGGCCCAGGATACGTGTGAAATGCGAGCGGATCATGGACGGCTTGAAGGCGGGGGACGGCTCCTCTCCTTCCTGGAACACGATGGCGACGATATCGTTCCCGATGTGGCGCTTCCTTTCCACCTGGTGGGAGCATAAATCACACCCCTGAGGAGGTTCACAGAGCTAAACAATGTGGCACTGCGACCCGCCACTGGCACCCAGAGCCTAGACTTGGGTCACTGTCAACCTCCTGCCTCCAGCTTTACCAGCCCGCCCTGGCCGCCTGTCCAGCTCCTCAGCCCCTCCCGATTCAAGCCTGTCTTTCCCCTGCTACTTGTGCTCATTTTCCATCATCAGCTCTTTGCTTGACATTAGGGCCCCAAGCAATTGCCCAGAGATGGGGCTCACACGTAAATTCTGATGAGCACCTTAGTGAATTCTGAAGGAGAGACTTGGTGAGGAAAATGGCTCTATCTAGTTTGACCCTAGATGACCTTGGTTAGCAGTGTTTTTTTGCTGAAGAGCACACAGTAAATATTTTCAGCTTGTGGGCCATATTGTCTTCTGGCAACCACACAGCCGTTGCAGAAGCAGCCGCAGACATGCAAGGAACAGGCACAGCCGTGGTCCAGGAACACCTGACCAGCATGGGCGGCGGCACAGACCAGCCCTTCACCAGCCTGCCAGCCCCTCGGAGACCTGCGCTAATGGTCAGAGTGACACCCTGAGCCTGAGTGAGCTGGGCTGGCCTGGACTCTCTGACCGTTACCCTAGGCCTGCAGAGCCTGGGCAGAAACAGGGCGGTCCAGTTAAAGTTCTTCTCCTTCCCTGCAGCCCCCAATTGGGCAGGTGAGGTTCGATATTCTCCTGCATTTCCTTGTCTCACTCCCCTCCTGCACTATCTTCCTAGTAATAGAGACACGTTTTATAGCTTTGATTCTCTTCACAGTTTGTGATGCTTGGGCAAGTGGGGGACCCAAGCGCCCCCCATGGATCCAACCAAGAGGTGGAGAACCGGAGTCCCTCTGGGGACAGCTCAGCATGGCCGGTGAGCACTCTGCTGCTTCACTGCGCTAATGGCCCCTCCGAAAGACGAGGTCAGAGACCTCTGAGCCCGCAGAGGCTGGGTTTGCCAACCTGCAGAGGCACCACCTCGGCGCCACCGTCTAAGCCTGTGTGACCCAAAGCAAGGGGGTCATATTCTTCCCCCCGTCTGTGGCGAAAGCCCCTCTCTGTCAGAGGACATGGCGATTTGGGGAAGGTGCTGGGCTAGAAGGGTTGGTGTTGGGAGAAGCATTATGAAATTTTTCTAGCATAATTGTTGCAATAACAGAGGTTATTAAAATTGGTGATGATTGGCCTGGTCTGGCTCCTCCTGTGACTCAGGCTCCCCGGAGCACAGCAACCATTCTGCAAGTGTGTCCTTCCACTGCAGGCCGGAGATGCCTTGCAGGACACAACTCTCAGCATGGAAGCCGCCTCCCTGGCCGAGGTACTTCCGCTTCAGCCCGTGCTTTCCCAGAGTCAGCCTGCTAAGTCAGAACACACTTCTAAAATCCCAGCGGGTCTCTGTCACCTGCAAGATCCCCTACCAGCTCCGGGTTCCAACTCCAAACCACCAGGCACTTCCGGCCTGTCCCCGCGAGGTCCCCCAAGTACACACCCAGGTCCTTAAAAGAACTGCACATTTCTAAACTTATGTCTAAACTCCGACACATGGGAAGTCTTCACCTGGAAGTGGCCTGTCTGCGGTGGGGTGAGGAGTCTAGGGTATTTTTCCCAACAAGGCAGAGCCACACAGACCCTCAGTGACCAGCTCTACACTGGCCTGCCAACCTGACCCAGGGTCCAGCGAGGTTATGTGTGACAGTCTCAGATGACAAGATGCGGGACTCATGGAGAGCAGGGAGAAGAGACAGCAGGTGTGAGGAACAGTCTCCCAGGAGCCCGGAACACACTCAGGCGTGTGCA